AGCTTTCGGTTACGGTTCCATCCACATACATTGTATTTGTGTAAGAATTCCACAGAGCTAAACATCCCACTCGCGAGGTCGGCGTTTTGTGTGGGCGTTAAAGATGGAATGTTCCATAGCAACCGGGACTGTAGGTTACGTTTGTCGTCTACGTTGTATATATACACGGTGATTTTTCAGCGCTGAGCTTTCCCTTTACATTGTCATATGTGAATAAATGAGTATCAGGAGGCAGCCATCTTTGTCGCCTCATGAAGATGAAGTTTTTCTTGTCCAACACCTCCTTCCTTGCAACTTCAGCATAGTCAGAGTGTGTGTAGGTTGGCTTTCTTGATTAAATATTTATCGAAACGGCCTTACATTTCCATCTAATCGTTGACTTGAAAGGCCAAACGTAGTTCGGAGCTCGGTTCCGCATCGTACTCCATCGAACGCCTAGGCTTCACTAGTGATTCCAGCATTTTGTTGAGGTTTCAAAGGAAAATTAAAGCTATAGAAAAATAAGCTCTTAGCCTCCTTCTGAGTGCTTTTTCTAAATTTAACCTAATCAAAAGAGTCGAAAAAAATCCTGAATCGCAGAAAAAGCTCAAGGGTATGTCCACACAAGATTCCGGAGAAGGATAGGGTCGGTGGAGTGAATTCGCGTATGAGGCATTCAAGAATATTAAAGAATATTTCTGTAACTCTGACTAAGAGTGCAGTACACCGAGCATAACAGAGGACTTGCCCACGTTGTTCGCTGTCCTGTCTAACAGCTTTTTTAGGTAATTAGATCCTCTATTTTGAAGCGATACTGAAGACGTACACACAGCTACAAGACGCCCGAGGGGAAGTGCTGAGCGGAACGACGGCCTCATACCACTGGGGTTCTAGCTCTCTTGTCGTAATCCATCCTTCAATACTATTTCAAAGACTGAATCAGTAGCGATCCCTCTGAACTATCTTCGATGTCTTTCATGGGGCAAACATGTTGCCGTTTCAAAAGTGGGCGGGGTTTGTGGGTAGGAGTACTTTCTCCTCAGAACTCTATGACCCTGTGAAAACGTTGCACATGTCTTGCCTAATCAGCCGTTTTTTTTCATTTTGTCTTGAATGCCTGAAGAGAAGGAGATGGAGACTTGGCATGAGACTCGGCAGGAAGGTTCTTCGTTACTCTCTAACTGCTTTCCGTCCGTCGACGTATGTGTCCATCTTTGACGCAATTAATTCCCAGCCCTTGTTTTATGCTCTTGAAACTTTGTACTCTGTCGACACTAGCGGGGCCCCTGCTTCGCTACTACAACTAATTTTCTTGCTAGGAGCCCGAAGCAGCAAAGGTCGGAGGGAGCTTCAGGCTCCTGCATGAGGATGATGAAACTGCTCTATCACTACCGTATATTTTGCCACATTTTGTGAATGAATGGGAACGAAAGTCTTGGTTTTATCTTCCCGTTAATTACATTCCATGAAGGTTCTTTGTATGCCTTCATTTCCGGAACAAGTTCTCCAGGAAAGCTTCCCAACTCTTTCTCACTCAACCGTCTCTTCTTGCTCTGCTGGCCATGATGAAACGATGGTGTACTTTGTGTTGCTCGAACATTCTGAAAGATACGCTTCATTTGATTTTTATTCGGAATTCTAGTGCATTTGCAGAGACCCGCTCAGCTTTTAAGGCAGTTTTTCATTGTTGTTGGCACCTGGGTCACCCAACGACCCATTCAGGAAAGTTGGAAATTTAGGTATACTTCAGCACGTAACACTGAATTAATAGATTAATCACGGTCTACGTACATATGTGACCTTTCTCTCCTACTAAAGGGGATTCCAAATTTTGCTAACAGCCTGCGTCTGCCTGCCCCCACTCACCTGACCCTTCCCTTGTTTTTTAGCACACGGGTGCTTCTGGGGAATGCTCTATTCTACAGAGTGTACTCCCTTGGTTAACTCATAGTCCTTTTTTTCTGAAGCAAATGGGTAAGAATTCGCTTTCTAATGTTCCTTGGATTCAGGGTTTGCTTAGGTAGATTGTTTAACATACCCTTCGAATTCTCTTTGGATGTGCGTGTTGAACAGGCTCCCGGTGGTTTTCATTTCGTCTTTTTCCCTCAGTGCTTTCTTCGGCATTTGATAGAGGTTGAAGAGCCTTTCCTTTTGTTAGTGGTTTGTGACTTTGAGACCATTATTGCGTTTTTATGGTATTGCCTCAGTATTTTGAATCACGTTAAAAGGGGTTTTATCGGCGTCTAGGTATTACTGAATGGTCCTACAGTCAGAAGGTGCAAATAAAGTGGTCCCCAACTTCCTCGAGCAATACTGAAAATTATCTTGTGTAAGAAAAGGGTGCTTTTTAGTTTTATACGTTCTTTTCAAGCCCTCTTTGTCGGTCACCCCTAATTGCGACTTCATCCCTGCTCCCAGTAATCCTCTCATCATAGCCTCTGCCATTAATATGCTACAAAGTTCCATGTGCTCCTCTGTCTCTGTTCCTATATGCTTGATTTCTCCTCAAAGTCATGACACGATTTTTCTGTCGCTTTGAACTAGGAAATTCTCTGAGGCGTAGAGCATTTGGTTTGAATAGGTGCTTGAATGTGGTTGGTTTTCGTCTGTAGCTCACAGGTTACCTTCTTCGAATGGTCTAATTCAAAGTTCAGTTCTGTATGATTTTGTGAATATCCCTTTCATGGTAATACACACCGCTTGAGCGTACTAATTAGTACCTAATATACGTGGGGAAATTAAAACCCTTTTAATATGCTTCACAGAATTTCTAATAGCTAAATTACTAATTCACTCTCTCGATCTCGTGATATAGACTAGTCATATACGCAACATTGAACGGCCTCATTGAGCCATGTTAACTAAAGTTCCTCGAAATGGGCGTAGATTGATGTGTCTATTCCTTATAGGGATAGGTAAAAAGGATCTGCGGAATAGAATTCCTTTTCTACAAGTGATATCAGTGAAGCAGAGGTGATGAGGGCGCGAGAACATTCTGATAACAGCTGGCCAGAATCGAAGCAGAAAGATGACTCTCTTAGCTCGGAACTCGAGTAACAAACAACGTTAGGGTCATTTCTTTTCCTTTATTCTCTTCAAACTTTCATAGAGTAACCACGCCTGATCGGAGGCGAACCATGAAATATTCAATTCAAAACAACAAGTGAAGCGACTTCAAAATTCGGTGCTAACCCTCTACTCAAAATTTCGTGCCCATCTGTAGGTATATTTTACGATATTGGGGTGAAAATGGTGCATTTTCGCGGACGTGTGGTCTCGAGATCGATCCTACCCAAGCCAAACAGCCCTTCCATCCCTTCAGGGTCAGTTATTTGGTTACAGACTCGTTTGGGAGGGTAAAAAAGCAGTCAAAAATTGTAAACGTACGATAATGAGTATGTGACTTACACAATGACTTTGTGGCACACCCTCACGTTGGATACTCCCCCACATTCGACTTCTATTCAAAATCTTAAGAGCATTTTGAATGAGCATGTGGACTGCCCCCACGATTCTGCATAGGAGTCGGAGGTGGGGGTGTATCCGAGAAGACAGCATTCATTTACGTGAAAAGACTTAATCTTTTTATTTGTCGTGCCTAAATATATTGATATTTTCCCATGATTTCTAGATTATTTCAATTAAAAGTAAATAACATTCCCAACGTCAAGTGATGGATAGTTGTTGTGCTCATTCTAATAGTGTTTGAACGTTGCGAAAGAGAGAATCGAATTAAAATAAGCCTGTTGACTATACACCAAGTATAACTGGTATCATTAGTTACGTATTGCTTAACGAGCATCAGCCACGCACCTTCGATTCCTCCCTCGTAGTGCAGTGGTGACTGTGTACTCCTCCAAGTGAATTACTTGAACTGGAGCAACCAGAGCGGTGATCGACTTACTCCTTAAGGACCGTGTAGGGGTTCAGTGTCCATTGAGGACAACTAGTCAGCGGTAAGGGTGACAATATAGCCATTTCTGTGAATCGAGTCGCATCAAGACCTGCTAGTTGATGTCCATTCAATGGTAGAGATTTGTCTGTGAAAGTGAACCCTGACTGGAACATCAGCCGGTCCTACACCTCATTCTATACGCCAAACACCCATTCGAAATGCATCTACGATCCTATGCGAGGGATCCAATGTGCTCCGCATTTTAAAGGAGTTACAGAAAGGCAAACATGTTGTTCATACTACCTTTATCTCTGACTGAGATGAGTTGTGATCCCTTGTGGGACATCCAAAGAAGTCCATCCCACACAGATTTCCAGCAAAACCAAGAAGTGTCATAGCTGAGGGCTTCTTTTCAATATGGCTTCATTCTTTTCAGCCTTCTTGTGAGATACTTTGTGCTCTTTTTAAAATGTAGGGAGGTTCATGCTCTTCTGATCCCCATTTTTTGGCCCTGATCCCCGATCCTACATGTGACTTTAGATTCGTTTTGTCAACATGTGTGGTCTCTAAAATAACTTCCTTGTTGTTCTGTAATGATTGATAGCGGATGTCGAAATTCATTCTTCTCTTTCCCCTTGTCAACAGTATGACTCCCAGAACCCGTTCCCATATTCAGTCGACTGTATTGGTCTTATTCTAGTCGCCTTGCTTTAATCGTCTCGAAACAATTCTTTATCAGGTACGTTTTCCTGGATTCTATTTCGAAAATAAAGCGAAATTCCATCGTTTCCTCCCCTAGCCCTCAAATTGAACCACTCGCCTGTATGGGAGAAAACGAGTAATGACCCCATGCCTTCGACTGGTGTCCACCCAGCTACGGGTGGAAATGTGCTGAAGAGTTCTCTGGAGTATTCCAAAGTTCGGCATACCAATTTTACCCTACTAACTTATGCATCGCCATTTAATACTTTCACTAGTTGGTTGCACTTTCATTTCCAATGAATCGTCAATAGCGAGCGCTGCTATGAATTTCTTGAAAATTGCCCCTGCACTGTGTTCACCCCCCAGAGTTCCTTCCCCGACATATTCGCTTTGTTTTCATTGGTTTCCGTTTCCGCTGAAAGCTTCATAGTTCAGTACATTTCTGAGAATAGACGGCATTGCGGAGATGAAAGTCTCGTTTTTTTCGTCGAGTCTTGAAAAACGAAACTGACTGCACTTCAGGTGTGGCGTTACTAGCCATGAAAAGGCCTCTTCCGGAGGTTTCCTTTGATTCCTCATTTTCATCATCATCATCATCATCATCATCATCATCATCACGACGACCATGTCTGTGACGTATCCTCGAGAAGCGTTCGTTCTGAAGACATCCCATTCCGTCTCGTATGTACCTACTTATGCTCTAACCGTCCGCTCTAACCGTTAGCTTTCTATGTAGAATCTTGGATTCGTAAACATAAACAAATCTCCTTCCAGTGATATGCTTGATGTAAAAGTGTTGACTCCAGTGTTTCGTCGTCCGTCACAAGATGAGGTGAACAACGACGATTCTTTCTGGCTTTCAAAAGCCTGTGTACATACTTTGATAAAAGTCTAAACACCGTATGGCGGGCTTTTTTCGCCACAGACAGGAGCAAAATAAAACTTACTAGTAAAATATTGGTCAAGAATGTAAGCATAAGCATAACGATTCCATTTTCAGCCCGAAGATGGTGAACCGCAGACGATTCATCCGAATAAGGAACAGCTAAGTCGACGGTATGCCATCATTCCCGAACAGGTGAGCCTTAAACTACTGTATCTGCTCGTTCAACTTCTTCCTAAGTTTTCTTTGTTTATGGTAATGTTTTTCTCAGAATGTTTTTATTTACAGCCTCATCAACATCAAGAAAGGTATGTCTAGGTGGTAGTGTTATTGTGTTTGGTGCTTCTTAGTGCTTCATGTACGGGACTGTCGCTTGGTTGCTGCTTTTCTGGGATCCAGATTTCTTTGTTTTTTGAATTTGGCAATTTTCCAGCTCCCAAGAAGGCTGTTGCTCATCTGACAATGTGATTATCGTACCACACGTTCAGATCTCACCTAATGAGTCGCACCTCTTCAATAGAGCCATCAGTTCCGGTGGTGGCCTGTTAGCAGGTCAGTGGGCACGTTTTCTTCTATTTTTGACCAATCCTACTTGGACCTGTCTGGCCTTTTCGATGTAAACACCACCGATTACTGTCTTCGTCAACCTGTTGTTAGAGGTTTAATTACATTGTAAATCACGTGACGTATTTTTATCACCATTTGTTCTATTGTGTGATTTGTAGTGTTCTCATTCTCATCCCAATTAGTCTGTGGTCATGAGAAAAAAGCAGGTTCTCAAGTTGTTTATTGAAGCTGTACGAGGAAGGTAGTGGAGTAGAGTTCATTCGTAAACAGAGAATACATTTTGATGATGTATATCTTCTGTTTGGCTGGAATAATACCTCGAGGGCAAGATTTCCCATCTAGAAATCAAGGCTTCTAACCTGTAGTCTCAATAGAAGGATGAATTTTCGGGGCGTCATTCAATCACGCCTGAAGGATGCGGCCCCGCATTCGACTTCCATTCAGAATCGTAGTGGCGTATTGAATGTGTATGTGGCCTATACAATGACTGGCCAGCCGATGTACAAGTCAATGCTTTTACCCTCGCAGACGGTCTGGTACCAACTAGCCGACCCTTGAGGGATTGAAGGCTTGGTTGGTCTGGGCGCTTATTGATCCGGGATTTGAACCCGTGTACATGCGTGTGTGATAGTGGGCCACTTGCCATTACTCCTCACACTTGTCGTACTAATATGATAAAATAATTATCGTGCAACAGAATACAGTAAACCCTTAGGAAGTTTTTTTTGTAAAGATATCTAACTTGGCTGGTGGTGTAATGGTAAGCGGCAAATTATCATACGCACATGGTAGGCGGTTCGAATCCTAGAGCGATACTAGCCCAGCCCAACCAGGCTTTCCATTCTTCCGGGGTCGGTCAGTGGTTATTAGACTCGGTCAGGAGATTGTATAGCGTACTGAAGTAAATTATATATCGCCTGGTACCGCAACTCGTTGTGTAGGTCACATTTGCATTCAAAATGGCATTACGGTCCCAAAGACTACTCTTTTTTATCGCCTTGAGATTACTGAATAATGTGATATGTTGCTCCAGACAAAAAGGCCCTTGTTTGGCATTAAGATGTGTTATCTCCAAGTATAAATGTCACATTACTATGAAAGATCGGGGAAGGTTCAATGCGATTGTCTGACTGACGGAGTAACGGATTCCGCGTGGCTGTCTGTCTATCTATCTGTCCACCTTCTTGTCTGTCCGCCTACTTGTCTGTTTGTCAGTCCATCTGCCTATCTATCTACCTTTCTGGCTGAATCTCTATCCATATGTCTGCCTGCTTATCTGTCTATCTGTCTGTTTTTCTAGTCGTCTATCTGTCTGATCATAATTCTTACTCCCCCCCCCCCCCCCTCCCTAGCGGAACCCAGAATGGTCATCAGGAACAGGATTGTTGTTGTTGGTAATGGGTTGTTTTGACATCATAGTTCATTGATATCGAATTAAATTAACAGTCTTTGAGTAGAAAATAGATATAACTCCACTCGCGCAGAGGAAAAACCTATTGAGTAAGGAAAGTGGAAAAGAACGTGTTGTGGATAGAGAGACTACACCTACAGGGGAGCTCGTAATGCTGAACACTCAACTCAAACACTATACAGCTGATCGGACCTAGTCCGCGGTGATAGTGGGAAAGAAATCTGGGGAAAACAGAAATCAGCCCTCGACTTTGACTAGTTTAAGAAGCCTCATATTTCGCGAATTCTGCAGACTTTTCACCTTCTTCGCCACCGATGCACTGTCCTGCATCGATGGCGAAGAAGTCCGGGTTAGTGCGCATATGACGGAGATCCATAAAATCGGCGTATTTAGAGACTTACGAGGCTTCATAAAAGTAGTAAAATCAGGGGCTGGACGAGAAGGTGACGACAAAAGTTGCATGGAAGGGCTTTCGGACTAGTTTTCCAGAAGTGTGTACCACTGCCTATAGCTGGGTACAGTAACCTGCTCGCGTGCAACGTGTAGGTCCCGATGCGAGAGTGCAACCTCCACAGCCTCTACAGCGTCCTAGGAGCCCGTCCTTATTCGGGCTTACGTCGGATGAGGCGTTTTAGGAACCTTCCCTACCCAGGCCGTTTTCGACCCGACAGCAACCCCTGCGCTGTACCTGGGGAGGGGAGGGAGCACAGGTTCTTCCTAAAGAGAATTCTCTTTCCGTGAACTGTGCCTTTGAAGGATTTTCCAAGTGAAGGCGATGTTAATGTTAGTAGGCATCCAACAGTTTTCCTGTCCCTCGGAACTTGCTGAATTGCCTCAATTCATAATAGAACTAGAGCAAAAATAGTATTAGAAAATTGATTTAACCAACAACAGGCGTGAAGTCACAACTTATTGGGCCGGAACATTTTTTTATGAGGGAAATGGCAGCTTTCCTCCTGCCACGGGATATGGTCGATTTCACTTGATGATAGGCACTTTACAACTCAACACATATAGGCCTGTCTTTCTAACGGATCTGCCCGTCAGACTTTTGCTCCCCTTCAGTCGCCTTCGACGTCAAACGAGTTGGTACATGGGCTCCCATGCAGCAGTTTGGGCCAAGAGATTCTTACTTGATTGCTTTACCATATACCATGTCTTAATATTATTTGCCACATTGTTCGCTAGCTGTATCGCTGCGCTGCATGCCATTCCGGAATCTTTCGTTCACATGTCCTACCATCGATCGCTTCCAAAGACCACAGTTCTGCATGGGAGTCTGTTGCATGGCGTATCCTTGAGGATAAATGGAGTTCCATTAGTTCTTTTTGGCATTCGAATCCCTTAGATATCCCTGCTGACTCCCGAAGCGGGTCCCGATCGTCATACACCAGTCAGCGTTCAGCTGGTGGTGCTAGACATCACAGCCAGTTGAACGGTGACTTCTCCAACTACTACTCCGAGATTTGCTTAATTGTGTAATGAATAAATAAACAATAAATAAAATGAACAACCCAAATTTTTGTATGATATCTTCCTCCATCCTATTCTATCATATTTGCTTCCGAAATCGATAGCATTTGTCTGACAGAAACGAAATATGAGATTCTCCGTTGAACCTTTTTGGACCCTTTTCCGACGTTACCTAATACCTCACTGTTTTTATAATTTGTCATTTCAGACTTACAACGGGCAACAATCTCGGCCCAGGCTTTCTATGCCGAGAATAATGAGCCACCAAAGACGCGATCACCGTGGATACTAAAACGTTTGGTGAGTTCTGATGAGCCTTGTGGAAGCCTGGCTTTTACTCTCCTTTATTGACCCTTATCTTTTTTTTGAATGCGAAATTTCCTTTTTTTATTCAAAATTTTCAATTTAAGTACGAGTGGTCAAATCGGGCGAAACGACGTGAAATCATCAAGCACGTACAGGCCGCTTTGGAGATGTCGGTCGACCATGAATTGGAAGATGATGAACTTGAAAAGTTACTTGTAAGTATTGGTGTTCCCACATCTGCCTTCATGTGGGAATGTGTTCAAAATGAATTTGTTACAGCCAGTTTCATGGGAAGAAATGTTTGAAGGGCCGCTGGAGAATTTGCCTACCCAGGTAAGACTAGCAGTTCCTCCTAAGCCTCCCAAGTGATGTTGCCTAAACAGCTAATTCAATGCAATTACAATTATAAAGAAATCATTGAGTTCTTCACTCGCGACTGAAAAACTCTCGAAAAGCTACAATAAAATATTTTTTGATTTCAATGAACTATTTCTTTGATTTTTCTTTTTTTTAAGTTTTTTTGCTGATAATTGCTCTGCTTTGTAGAAGCTGAAGTATTTGCAAGCTGTATGGGAACTGTTTCATTCAGAATTAAAATTTCTTCATCACCAGCTGCTTGTCTTACGGTAGGTCCGCCTCTAAAAAGTATCCCAAGTTGTAACTAAGTTGTATTTTTCAGAAATGTATATAAGGAGCCACTAAAGAAGTGCCAAGTAGAAGGCTGTCTATTGACAGTCGAACCTGATCTCCTATTTGGGAACCTCGATCAGTTGTGCCGAATTTCTCGAGGATTCTGTCAGACTTTCCTTAGCCTCCTGCCATCTGTTAATCATGAAGGGACCGATTATGATTGTACGGATCTTGTTGTGAAACTATTTGAAAAGGTGAGATTTTGGCCAGAAGGGGTGAAAAATGCAGGGAATTGAGTGTTTTTTTTTTGTTAAGAAGACTTTTTACCAAAGTGATGAGGGACTTTCAGTGGAGCGTTAGTCATTAGTACTTTTTCCCAATACTTTATTGAATTCCATTCAAAGCACAAAGACAAATCAATGCATCCACCTCGCTCCACCGCTCTAGTCCATTGTTCATATATCGACATCATCGCAGTCAATCATGCATTTCTGAGAATTCTCGTAGAACCGCCAGCAAATGACATCACTGGCTAAAAGCGACATCCGAGATCAGGAGAATAAAGTTGTAGTTGTAAAGGGTTGAAACAATGAGGATAGGGATTTCCTTGAAGATGAGACATTGTGCGAGTTATGCGGGAGCTTAAAGTGCGGGATGAAATGGGCTATCTCGGTGTTAATGAAAGGATGAAGTATTGAAGTTGATCAATCTCATTTTGGGGTGTGCCGCGCATTTGAGT